TTTTTTTTTTTTTTTTTTTGCTTTATTGAGGAAAGTATATAATACTTAGAAAGATTTCCGTAAAAAATTGATAAAAATTTCAGAAGGATAACAGCAGCAATAAACAGCACTAAGTGGCAACAGTATCAACAGTCTCAATAAGCTGTTCCTTATACACTGTAAAACAGCACATTCAAGTGAAAAAGTAGAAAAAACTATTTTCGTAACCAACTAATTTACCAGTCAGTCGATTTCTGCTGACGATGATATCCCAACATCTATATATTCCATGTGACCAATTTTTTTTTAAACTATACTAACACAAGAATATAAGATTAAAGACAACTTTGCAGTTGAAAAACCGTTTAATAGTTTAATGTACACAATGAGTATTAATATGTTTCGAAGACCAGATAAAACCAAATGTGAGAAAAGTAGGCAGAAATAGTGAAGAAGCTTTAAGACTATTGTTTATTATTTGCTGTTAATAACAAAAAAAGTCAATACCTTTCTTTTTTTTCGATTTAATTCTATTTGAATTCACTGTCACTTATGGCTTAACGCTAAGTCTAATACAACGACAGCATAAGGCTTTGGCATAATTTATTGAAAAAAAATAAGATGAAAACACTAATTTATCTAGAGTTTAGAAGTCTTTTTTCTTTTCTTTAATTCCAATATTCCGGAAAAAAAAGGTATAGTAAAAAAGATGTTTAGATGTTTTGAACACTTAGTTTCAGACATTTATTTCAAAAATTAACATTGCTCATAAGCGACGAAAATTGTCAACACTGAACGACAACAACAGAAACAACATCTGATAAGCAGCTATAACCAATTGATATCCAAACAGATAGCCCTATTACCAACAGTAAATTATAAGACAAAAAAAATTTTCACGGAAAAAGATAGAACAAGTTTACTGTTTGCTCTACTCTAATTGAATAGTCTTAACTGATGATGATGATTATGGTTATAAAGGCGTTGATGATAATGACTATTTATAAGAATCGTGATGGTACAGATGCAGCAGATGATGATGATGGTGATATTGACAATGATTATTATTGATGTTAGTGTTAGTGTTATTACTGCCATTGGTATTACTGATATTAAATGTGTATCATAATTTTAAACACTTAAATATTCTGTATAACCAATTGAATTGTTTGAACTTAAAAAAAAAAAAAACTTTTTGTTGTCAACACTCTTTTTTCTTTTCCTCTTTGCTTTCTTTTGTCTGTTTATTCTTTTTTGCTTTAAAATTATTCAGTTTAAAAGCAGAAAAAAAAAGTTTCTTTTTTTTTTCAATTTTATTTCTTTCAATAACTTGTTAACATTGAGTAAATTTTCTATTACAACAACAAAACGAAAAAAAAAAGCAAAAAATAGTGGCGAAGGCAAAAGAGAACAAAAATTGGGATAGCAACAACACAGTAAAAAGTATTTCTGATTAATGACGTTATTATTTGGATAAAAAAAACAAACATTTTAAAGCTTTAAAGTACCAAACCAGATCAAACTAAATCATTTGATGGCTATCCGAGGCTCCACAGAAGATGTTTTTAAATGTTTACTGATGAAAGACAAAGATTATCATTGTCTGGTCACCGCCGTTACTAACTTTGCAAGCCTTTCCAGTATGATTCTCCTCCTACAAGTCGCTGTGAAACTTTGGAAAAATAGACAACAAAAAAGCATTCAAATGCTGAAGTAGTGCTGTTCAAGTTATCGCCTCATCGTATTCTTAAACTGTCAATGAATATTTCACTCATTGACTTAGTTTAGCAACTACAACAACAGCACAAGACGCAGGAATCGACATTTACAATGCCAATTATGGATCATCTGAACTGTTCTGGTTAACATTATTTCTTTTCCTTTTTTTTTTATTTTTATTGAAGAATAATTACTTAGACAGCAAAAAAAAAAGAAAGAGGAAAAGAATTGGATCTAACAATCTTAGTATTTTTAAAAGAGCGGCGACATTTTGATTATGTTGGTTTTGCTGGTGCTGCTGCTGCTGCTCCAGTCATTTTTGTTGTTGTAATTGAGAAAACTGAAGAAAACTCATTGTCTGCGGGGAGCAGCCATTTGAATTACCAAATTTGCCTCGAAGAGCACTTTTTTTTGTTTAATTCAAATTTCTGCTTTTTTAAGTTCACCTTCTTTTTTCATGTCTCTGTTTCCCTCTTTCTTTTTTTTTTTTTTCTTCACTTGAAAAATGATCATTCAATTGGTAAATATGCATAAAATAAGCGCAAATAAACGGTCGAGAAAAAAAAGTTTGTCAGTGTTTTCAATAGTTAACAGTCAGTTGGCTTCTTTTTTCTTTTCTTCAGAGAGAGAAAAGGGCTATAACGGCTCAAAGGACGAGTAGAGAAAAAGAAATAAAGGGAAAAAAGGAGAGAAGAGAAACTGATAATGTATAACAAAGCTATTGTT